GGAGCCCGCCCCTGGGCGCCAGCGCGCAGCCCAGCAGCCCATTCCTGGCCCCCAGGGAAAATGAGAGACCCCATCCAGCCCCAGCTCGCTGCTGGATCAGTCCCGGAAGGCTGCAGACGGGGGAGGGGTCTGCAGGTCCCCCTGACAGAGGAGCCAGCGGCCTGAGCCACAGGCTGCCCTGGCCCCGCGCTGTCAGCACAGCACCCAGCACCCAGCACCCCTCACTCCGTGTGGCCACCACTCGGTGCTGGGCGCCTGAGAGGGTGTTTGAGTCCGGGGAGCCGCACAGCCCCCTGAGACCCTCTCCCCTGGGAACTTGCCTTTGGGGCCGGGGGAGAAGGGTGGTGTCTAGGAGCTCAGGTGCCCTGAGAACCATAGCGGGGTCTCTGGGCTCCCCCTTCCCCGGGAGCACCTACAGGGGTGCAGAGAGGGCAGGAGCCAGGGCCCAGCATGGCAGGGAGAGGTGAAGGAATCTACAGCTGGTCTGTAAAGGGACCTCGGCTTCAGCACCCTTCACAGCCCGCCCAGTGCCACATGCCCACGTGGTCCTGTCGCCAAGCCTGGCCGTGCCCAGCAGAGCTTAGAGTAGGCCTCAGAGAGGGGTGTCAGCCCTGGCCGGGTAGCTCAGCTGGTTAGAGCATCACCCTGATATACCAGGGTTGTGAGTCCGATCCCCGGTCAGGGCACATACAACCAATGAATGCATATACAAGTGGCACAACAGTCGATGTTTCTTCTCTCTCAAATCAATAAATTTTTTTAAATATATTTTATTGATTTTTCACAGAGAGGAAGGGAGAGGGATAGAGAGTTAGACTCATCGATGAGAGAGAAACATCGATCAGCTGCCTCCTGCACACTCCCCACTGGGGATGTGCCCGCAACCAAGGTACATGCCCTTGACCGGAATCGAACTGGGACCCTTGAGTCCACAGGCCGACACTCTATCCACTGAGCCAAACCAGTCAGGGCTCAAATCAGTAAATTTTTTTCATTTTTATTTTTTAAAGGGGTGTTAGAGCCACACAGGGGTGGCCTCCCCTCACCACCAGGCCCAGAGCCCTGGCCAGCTGTCCTCCAGAGCCTCTTGGCTTCTGGATAACTGACAGGAGCCACCTACAGGGCGGGCAGCCATCAAACTCCCTCTTTGACGCTTATGGGAGGGGCTTCCAGCCGGCGGCCAGGGGTCCACTCCCTCCATCAGCCTCTGAAACTGGAGCTAAGAGGGAGCAGGTAGGATATGCCCAAGGGGCTGCAGGTCACCCTGAGGAGGAGGCTGCCCCTCCCAGCTCTGCCTCCCCCACCCCGCTTTAAGGCTGCCTCACCTCAGTGTGGGCAGCCCCGCCCTACCCTGGGCAGCCCCAGGTGCTTGACTCACATCCTGCCACCGGCCTAATTGCCCCCTTCCTGGATGTCATCCCAGATGCCTGTGTACCTCCACCACAGCCCAGGACTAGGTGACACTCCAGGCTGGGAGCTCCCTGGGGAGGGGCTCAACCCCCAAGTGGGGGGCAGTAGGGGAGACAGGAAAAAGTGAAAGGAGAGAAGAGGATGCTAGGGAGGGGAGGACAGGTCCTCGGGCGTTTACCACCCCCACCCCAGAGCCCGCTCCCCACCTTTTAAGCAAAGGCTGAGCCCAGACCCGGGCCCCACCCACTGCAGGCTACCCAGACCCCGACCCCCCGCCCCTTGGGGTACCCATGCAAGCCCAACTGGCCCCTCCTCTGAGAAAAGCCCTTTGCTTGGGTGCCAGGCGAGGAAGCCAGTGGCCACAGCCCCCACCAGCGAGGACTTGGGGCTGCAGGGGCCCCGGCACCTCAGGATGCAGCCAGTGGACGCAGCACAGACCCGGTGATTGCATTCCAGCTTTATTTCATGTCCCAGCTGCGCTCAGAGATAGGTCCAGGCCATGGGCGCCAGGGAGCAGTTCTTGGCGTCACCCCTAGACCAGGTAGGGGGCTCTCTTGTCCACTGCCTGCCTCCTTCACCTGGGGGGTCCCCCAGAAACCTCCGCCTCAGCAAGGGCCGCCTGGCAGAGCCAGAGCCCTGGCAAGGAGCTGCTAGTGGGGGCCCGCTATGCCCCCTGCAAACAGACCCATCCCAGCTCCATCTCAGGGCCCCAGTGCCAGCCATGGAGGCCCCAGGGGCCCAGGCCTCCTTGTCCAAGGACTGGCCCCAGACGCCCCGGCTCCCCACATTCATGGGCTGTCTGGGACCCCCACTGGGACTCCAGCGGTGAAAGGCCCACATTCCCAAGCTTCCAGTCCATGGGGTGTCACTGGCTGAGGGAAGGGGTGAGAGGGTGTTTCTCCGGTTCCTGCACCTCGAGGCCTGGAGGGAAAGGCTCAGCTCAGGCCCGCGCCCTCGGGGGCTCACAGGCCCTCCACCCTCTGCCACCGCCCAGCCCTCCACCATTCCCTCGGCTCTCCCCCTTCCTCCCAGCTGCTCCAGCCACCTGGCCGAGCCGCCATCCCTCGGCCTGGAATGCTGTTCCCCACAGGTATCAACCCACCAACTCTCACCTCCCAGTCTTTGCTCTGACTTCACCTCCCTTCCGCGGCTACCTCGAGCACCCTAATTAACTGCACCCACCCAGTGCTCTGACCTCCTTTTTCCCAGAGCATTGCCACTTCCTAATATGCCAGGAGGCCTGAGAGTAAAATACCAATGGACTTCAAAGACTCGTATGAAAAAAATAATATAAAATATCTCGTTAACGATCTTTTACACTGACTACATGTTAAAATGGCAATACTTCAGGCCTATGGAGTTAAGTAAAATGCTATTAGGTTTGCCTGTCTCTTTTTGCTTTTTCTGATGAGGCTACCAGAAGGTTTGAGATTACATGCAGCTCACGTCTTATTTCTATGGGGCTGTTGTATAACTGCTATTTCCATGCACATTGCTTACTGTCTGCCTCCTACCCCAGAACGTGCCCGCTGCCCCCGCTGGCACAGCCCCTGGCACTGAAGGCTGGTTGTCCAGTGGGGGGGGGGGGCTGAATGAGCTGCCAGGGCCACGCGCAGGGCAAATGCCCCCTCACCCTCTCGGCCGGCACCTGCTTCGTGTTCCGCCAGGGTCTCAGTGGAGCCATCCCATCCCACGCCAGGTCCTGGGGGGACACAAGGCAGCTACTGGGCCACAGGTACCAGGACAGAGGCAGGCAGGGCTGTGGGGAGACACGGGGGACAGGAAGGAACCCCTCCCCCAAGGAGTCGGGGGCTAATGGAAGCAGGGACCCCTGTCCCTCACCTGTGCCCTGGGAGCCGGGTGCCTCCATGGGGCCCGGACGGCGTTGACGGAACCGCTGCCTGGGGGTGTCCCCGGGGCTGAATGACTCCGAGCTTCGCCCCACCGGGAATCTGGAGCTGAGTTTCCGCCGCTGCCGGCCCGCCAGGGTTTCATCCCGCAGGCTGAGGGAGCTCTGGGCCCGGCGCATGGGTGCCGGGGAAGGGGACCCTGCAAGAGGCGGGGCACGGGTATGAGAGCCCTGCAGGGAAGGGCGGGCAGAGTGAGGGGCAGCGGGCAGAGTGAGGGGCAGCGGGGTGGAGCAGCACAGAGCCAGGGAGAGGAGGCTGCAGAGGCGGGGGAG